AACACTAGTCCTGGGAAGATGCTCCATTCAAGACAGCTCACCACAGCCAAAAGAATTCTTCACCTTTATGCATCAACCGCCGAAACATCAGACGACTTGGAGCTATTATCGGAATAGGTTAAAACCGTTTTTGTGCCATCCTAGTTTGAAATGAAGAAAATCCCGAGAACAGCATATGAAGCACTTAATATTCACGGAATGATCAAGAAAAGTTCATTCTTGGCAGACAATTTTAAGGCAATCTTTCACAAAGTTATTCAGAGGAACAGTTATTTGCTCACTCTGAAAACATCCCGAAAAACGATGGTGGAAGATGAACGAGAACATATTCGTGAACTTGGCTTGAGAGGAATGCTGGAAGCAAGAAAAACTGACTGGAAGGGGAAAATATGATAATTTGTGCTTCCCAAATTACATTTCAATGTAGAGGAGTGTTTCGAGAGGATTTCGCTAGGACAGTGCCTTGGACCTCAGCGGCGAAGACATAAGATTGATTAGAAGAGGTTCTCAGTTTGAAATAGGAGAGTTCCCTTGCCATTCTAAAATGCTAGTGAGGCCTATGAGACTGGTGGCAGAAGCGTCGTTGGCAACAAATGGTGCAGAAGCTATGATTGGATTCATACGCAATTGAATCAAGCCCCGGAACGAATTTACGAAGTTTGACAACAAGATCTTTAGTTCTCTGATGGAACCTGAAGATGACAAGAGATTAAGCTTAAACGTTTGTACTGGCATTTGTTTGCCAATTAAAACTATAAGTTCCGCCAGAAGACAAAAATATTGTAAAATATGATTAAAAAATATTTTAAAAATATAGTTTGATATTTTCATTAACATTAACATTCATGCTTTTATTTCCCTCGTGTGGAATCTGATGCTGGCGAGCGATTGAGCTGCAATTTCTTAACTGTATTTTTTTCCTCGAACAGAACCATTTATTGGGTCAGGAAATAATAAAATTTGAAAAAAAAAAAAAATTAGCTTTTTTCACTCCACCCTATATACAGTATCAGTATATGTCACTCTCTGAATAAGATGAAAATGTTTCTTAGAGAAAAGCGTGTTTCGTTATAAAGAATATACAAGTCATTCAACAATTTCTATAGGTACATGTATAAGTAAAACGATATGTCTGCATGTAGTTTGTATAATATGTATTCGAGGAAAAAAGATTTTATAAGAAGGCTTTTTAAAACCATTTTCCATTCTCTAATGCGATGTATTAAATCCGTTTCCATGTTTCTTTTCAATCTTCATTTTCAATCTTTCAATCTGCAATCTTCATAAGCTTTTAAAAACAGATTAGCTTTAAAGAAATGCTATTTCTTACAGTTAACCGAATTTTCCAATAACATTAATTATTATCATCAAATTATTCTCATCAAATTAGACTTGATCGAGTTACCGCACTTCGAATTTAAGACGCACAGTTTCTCCCACTTAAGGGTTGCGAACCTTGGAATCAACGTTTTCTTACAACTGCATTTTCCTCAGTTACTAATTATTTTTAATTAATAAATGATTTTTAATAATAATTTATAAAAGAAAATTATTGTTATTAGTAAATAAAAGCCGATTATTAAAAGAGTACTTTCTAGATGCCTTATGATCATAGCTGCAGTCATGTGGTTAAGATTACTGAATACGGGCAGTTTGATCCGGTCTCTAACTCCGAAGACGGGCTTGCTGCATGGTTGGGTTTTGTCGATTTTCTTATGTGTAACATGAATACGAGACAGATTTCCACTATAGAAAGACCTTCAAGAAGGCATCCTTCGTCCTTAGGAAAATAGTCCTTAATCTGCTTAGCCATATTCAAATAACTTAAAATTTTTTTATGTATTTAAAATTTTTTTTTCGCTCATTTTATGTTCTTGGAATTAAAGCCCTTTTTTGGGTTAATGTGTCTGAAATACAGGGGTGCATATTACAACTCAAAGCGTTTTAGATTCGTAGACTCACGGTGCATAAATATAGTACATAGGCATCAATTATAAAACATCCATTCTGAACAATACTTCATGTCAGATAATTTATGTGAAATCATATCAAATCTATTATTGTTAAAAAAGTAACTCATCGACCATATTTGTGAATACTACAACTTTTTAAGCAATTGGCTCTGGAGCACAAAAAAATTACTTTTTTTCCATCCTAGTTTTCACTGGAGTTTATACTTCGAACTTTAGAAGAATATCAAATTTCAAGAAAGAATGAAAATCTATTTTGGGTAAAACTGTCAGATTCCTTCCTTTTCAGAAAGTCTAACACATTTCTTCTTTACAAGTCTTTGAACAGGTATAAAGTAAATAAATAAATAAATAAAAGGAGTCCTGCATGACTGAAACCATTTCTATTTCTTTTTTTTTTTTTTTTTTTTCTCTTTTCAAACGTGGCATCATATTTCTAAAAATACCTCTCTGAGCTGCATGACTCAAGATGCCAGGCGTCCGATCACTGTAACTGCAACTAGAAGAAAATTCTTCGAAACGAAGGGAGAAAATGGCATTGTGGCAATAGTCTCCTTTCAATCAGCCTGGAATCGACAATGCGGGCTCGATTCTGATCTTGTACTTTCAACAAAGAGCGCAAAATCTTTCATTCAGTTACTGACCAGACCAATATCGACAAGACGCCACAGATTTGTTTTATTTATTTATTTATATTCTTTTATTCCCCTTCTTTTTGCAAGATGCGATTTCCTTCGGTCCTTGGTCCCATGTGCGTCGAACAGCTTCAGTTACAGTTAGCAGGTGTCATCAGTTATCGTTAATCATTAGATATTTTCTTTTATATTCTGCATATAAGAATAGTTTGTAGAAAAAGGTCCAGAGCTGAAGTGTTACTAGCAAGTTTTGTTTTTTGAAAGCGTGTTTAGGAAAACTCGCTAATACGTCAAATGCTACTAAAAATGCTAGAATAATTTACTTTCTTAATTGATTATCAGTTCACTGAAATAAATTCTGGAATAATTTTCTTTTATAATCAGTTAAAATTAGATGCTTCTGATTTAAAACAACCAGAGTAAAGCCAGAATGTTGATCGTAGCATTAAATACTTCGCATAAATAATATTTTAAAATTTTCAAGAAATTTTTTTAATGTAACTGAAATTTTTGATCGCGTTGATGTTTAGAAAATTTAATGTTAGTTTACCAGTGTAAAATTTATAATTTGTAAGGCTTTTCTTCCTCCTTATCGCCTTCGTGATGAAACTCCAAAGCACGTTTCCCTAGCATCGTTAGGTCTAGAGCTCGAATCCCGGCGAGTCATTGTACATTTTGCATTTTTCCTGATTTGACAAACCAAATGACTCTCTATATAGTTGGAATCAATCATTATACATATTCTTCCGGTTTTATTTAGTTATTTATTTAGTTACTGGAAACTTATTTGAAAATGCGAATAAATTCCCCAAACGCGGTATCCAATTTCACTCTGTTGCGTGAAAGTGAAGCATTTAGAAAAATAAAATTTAGAAGAAAACATCAATTTAGATTGTTATTGATTTGGTTGAAAAACTTTATTAGATATAAAAAATACTTTTGCTCTCTGAAGAAGACAGACACCTTCTTGTTGATACAAAAACGAACGTCAAAATAGGGTGCTTAAACATATAGCTTTGTCATAATTAAGAAATTCGAAGAAGCACATTTATAAAATAATTTTTTCTCTTTCTGTTTCTGCACAAATATAAGAAGAAGATGAGGAGAACGTCCATACACTTTTTTTAGATATAAAGTGAGCAGAAAGACTGTTGAGTTTTTTGATTGACTTTATGAAGAAAGTCAAAAGTTTATTGTAACTACAGAAACTTCATCATAGTTAGCTGTATTTATTTCTGCGCATCGTTCAGACGCGTCTTGGGTATGGTGTAAACTGTATCTCTTCAAAACTTAAACAGTACATCTGTATTATTTATTTGAAGTAGCAACATCCATGAACTTAGGAAAATAGCTAGTTTTGAAAATTTCGTATGTAAATAAAACTTATTTTTTGTTGCGTTAATTCATTAATCTTTTTTTTTTGGTCCAAAGGGATTTGAATCCCGAAGGACTATTAGTTTCGTTTTGGCATTTTGCGTCGGACTCATAAATGTCGGTTCACTTTTCAAACTGTTGCCACAAAATGTTAGAGTCCTGCATTATATTTGAAGAAATTAAATAATGAAAATCTGCATAAATGTATGTATATTTCTCGTATTGTGATAAAAACAACGGTACACATAGAGTCATCGAATTTTGAATAACGTAATCCTCCAACGAATATGAGCATGTGTGGAAGACCAAATTTGAAATTTGAAATTTGTTTTATGATCGATTTCCTATTTTTTAAAACTTTGACGAATTTTTGATTAACAAACTCAAGGATTTCAAAGCGAGCAATGGCAACGTTGTGCAAAAAAACATTTTTATCTTCAGCGCGTGAGTCTCTGTATCGGAAATTCTAAAGATATGCTCGTTTTAAAAAACTATTTTGCGATATTGCTGTTGCACTGGATCGTATGGTTTAAGTGCGAGGAACATGATATTTAATAAAGAAAGGTAACACACAAAATGTTAAAAAACGCCCCTTTGGACGTAATTTAAAATCTGAAACATTTCAGGTTTTTTTTTTTTTTTTTTTTTTTTTTTTTTTTTGTGAGCTCAAAGTCGTATAAAGGTACATGGGTTTTTGAAGCCATTGCTTCCCAAACGTCTCTGGCCTATTAAGATCAGTTGTTCCTAGAGAATGATAATTATCATTTATCATTCTGATGGTGATGGATAAATTCGGCTTTCATTCGAATAATTCACAAGAAAGGGCACAAACCGAGTCTAACTCCCACACGCGATTTTTGCCTGCCTCAGGGATAAGGTATTCAGTACCTCAAATGGATATAATAATCATAATTTTACAATCGTATATTCTCCAAGTAAAAAAAAAAAGTTTTTTTCGTACTTAATCATGTATAGAGAGGCATTAGGTTATTTCGAAGGAGGAAATATGAGAAATGAGCAATGACCTCGCCTGGACTCGAACCATGGACTTCTCGAATTCTAGTCTAGCGTGCTGACCACTACACCACGAAGGCATGCTAAGAAAGCAGGAGAAATACCTGATATACTCCCCCTTTTAAAGGGCGCCTGGGGTTATAGCGGACCCAATCGCCAAATCCTGGTAGGGAAGAATCATCATTCACTACCTTTTAGTTCAGGCACCACTGTAGAGACATTAGGTATAATTGTTTTTGAGCATGAGAGATGAGCAATGCCCTCACCGGGAGTCGAACCCCTCACCTCTCGATTGGTTTGGTTTGGTTTGTGAAATTATGGCAAAGCCTCGAGGGCTATCTGCCTGAGGGGAGGGATGCCTTCGTGGAGGACTTTCTAAGGAAAACTGGCTCGTACACACGTTACACATGGGGAAAACCATGAAAACGCCCATGCAGCCAGCCCGTTTGGGGGATTCGAACCTCGGACCGAACTACCAGTGTTCAGCGACTTTACCGCTCGGCCGCTGGTGGGCAAACACCTCTCGAATTCGCGTAGAGCGTGCTGACCACTACACCATGAAGGCATGCTAAGAAGGCGGAAGAAATACCTTATACATGTATTGGAAAACTTAAAAAGTACGTGAAATCTCATCAAACACTATAGTTAAAAAAATAAAATGAATATGAAGAAATCCTGGTAACAGACTGAAACATACTCTTTTTTTCTCGACACCTGGTATCATTTTCCTGCAACTAGCTTGTGAATTTTCTGTTAACTTGGATTTTGTTGAGGACTTTTTCATAAGCAAGTAACATTTTAAACTTGAGTCGCATTGAATTTCTCACAATTACATCTGTAAATGGGCTAGTATCAGATGAGAAAATATTTCTGTAAAATGACTATCTCAAAAGTCCTTTTTAGTTCCCGAGTTTGTATATACACCTCATTATATAGCCGAATTCCAAATTTTTGTTAATATAACAAATTTATACTTTTTGTTATTTCCTCGGGGTTTGATAACCAATCAATGTTTGACTCTGACAAAAATTTAGATACCGATTCTGTTAATTCAAGTGAATCTAATGATAACGATGATTTTAAAAGCTCACTGCAGTAGTTTAAAATTCCTGTTCATTCACCAACCGAGTAGCTTCAATTTTAAACTAAATCTAGCATGAAAGTGCAAGTGACAAACACACGTCTGATACTTTTGCAGCATTTTCCAGCCTTTTTTATAATGAACTTAGTATATATTACTCGGCTACAAAAACTAATAATAATGCATCTGAAAATATACATGAATTTAAAAATAAGCAGCATTCATATGTATTAACAGACAGACAAATGTAACTGCAAGTGAAATAGTAACGTTTTTGTAATACCTAAAGTGTGATTGCCAAGTCAAATGTAAGATTTTATGGATCACAGAACAAACTAACTGAGCTATCAGTGTTCTAGAGCACGGTTTGTAGACTAGGTAGGAACTTAAGAGTTTTATTGCGGAGCTGCGGTCAGCCTTTTATTTAGATGTTATGTTATTAATTTTAGTTTATGAATGTAAAGAATTACATTTATTCAAGTCTTGGTATTTATCAACATTTTCTATGTTTTTTCCTTGTTTAATTTATAAATATATTAAAAATAACTAAATTTAAATAGCTATATATGTATTTTTCTAGTTTTGGAATCAACGGTGGGAAGAATGATTGCCTAGCAATGGTGAAAGGAGTGCATGGTGCAAGAGAGGTTGAAAACTCGTGATCTAGAGATATTTGGTCTATCGGAAAGTTTGACATTATGCTATTCCTTCACTTTGGTAAGAACAAAAATTTGGATTCTTCCTATCCTTAACCCAGACTTAAGGAAATATGGAACACGCACAAGTTACAAGTTTTTCAAATCATGTAAATTATTGAAAGCCTGCTGTCATTTAAAGACGAATATTTAGTGTCGCAATATTTGCCACTCAAAACAGCACATTTTGGAATAAAATCATTTATGTTTTAAGGATTTCATATCGGATGTATATGCAGTCTATCATTAAGTATGTTGGGAAATGGATAAAAGCTTTCGAAAAATAAAAAAAGAGTGTTAATTTTCTCTAAAACTGTGTTTGTTAGAAATGTCTAATTATTTCTTATGTGGAGGGCAATATATTGCTCTGAATAACTGTACTCCGCCAAGATTACATCAGCCTTAAGTCGAACCTTCTACAGTCTCCTAGATGTAGCTGAAAATTTGTTACAATACAAAAGAAATTTTTGGAAAGAACTAAATACAAAATTAGGAACAAAAAGTTCTGCATTTTAACAAATTTCGGAACGTTTTTGGAACAGAAAAACTATTACTTAAGAATTGAAAAACTGAATTTGGGAAATCCGTTGCATTTAAAAAAAGTAGTGATGACGAAAGAAAGGGATGCAAAAACTCTCTTTCATAAGCTCAGATCATAATTCTGATATGGCCAAAGTCGCAAATAGATTTAAATTTCTGTATTGTAAAAACTAAAGGTTGCAAATGCGCAATAACTATATAACATGAAGTTTAGATGACTTAGATTCTCACACTTTCAGAAGTTAGATTATTATGGTATTATGGAATATCATCAGAAATATTACAAAAAATATTTTGACTCCTTTACTTAGAAATGGCTATTTACAAAACTTTTAAGTTGCGAAAAGTCAGATTCAGAATTCATACTTCAAACGCAGAAATAATTATAGAATATATATCATTGATATATACTGCGTTAAGATGTCACTCTTAAGATAAGAAGAAGACCAGAATATTTGTAAGAACAGAATATTAAAATATTCTGTTTTTACAAAAATTTACAAATTTCCTTTTCAGTCGCCCTCTAATTAAAGTACAAGGATAACTTCCCCTCCGCACATCTTGAAAATTTTCTAGTCCTACTTTTTTAAATTTTAATTATAAAGCATTCACAAGTGTTCTCTAATAAACTAAATAAAAATCTTTCAAGATCTGTTCTCAGTAAATTGTTGGGAAAGGAAAATTTGAATCCGATATGCAACTCTGCATTTTATTTTGTCTCGTTATTAATCGCTTCTGTAATAACATAATAATGAGGAGGCTTGTGGAACATGCTAATGCGAATGGGAAAAATAAGGAGTTCGAAGAAATTGAGAAGGGCATTTAAAAATATTAACTTTAAAAATTATTATATGTCAGACTCGCTTTCCATGTTTGATTAATGTTGCGTTGGAAGTAGGAATTAATATTAATTCAAGTATCTCATTAAATGATTTTATATATCATTCCGGATTTTATCAAAAATGGTGTTCTAAATTGAAGACATCATTTATTCTTTTGAATTACTGTACTGCAAGGACGCCAACAGAGAGTAGAGTTCCTCTGAAAAATTTATTAGAAGTTAAAATTTTATAATGATCTGCAAAAAGGATAATAGACTAAAAATATGTTAGAATAGAAATTTAAAATAAAATAAATTGGAATAAATTCTAGAGCAACATGTTTGAATCTCATAAAATCCCACTATGGCATTTTAAAAAACATTTCGAAACTAAAAATACAGCTACATTTTTGTATAAAACATTTGTAAAATAAAAAAAATAAAAAAATATTTCCATGAATAAACCCTGGACAACAAAATTAGGGGAGCAGATGATTTAATGAGAAAAGATAACTAACTTCGCAGTCCAATTAAAAATTAATTAAATAATTAAAAAATTAAAATAAAAAACTAGTTTTTCCGTGGAAAAAAACAAAAAGGAAAAAAAAATCGTTTTATAATGTGAATAAAAATATTTGTAAATAACGTTTTGACATATAGTAAAATACCTCATGTGAAAACACCGTGTGACTTCCTTGTATTAAATTGTACGCAATATTTGCTGTACTTCCAAACTTATTACCTAGAACTTCATTAGAGATCAATTTCTAATTCAACCAATTCAGCTCTCACTTCGCGGCGAGGCAAAAATACATCAAAACTCAATCTTCATTAAAAATTGTAAAATACAGAAAGACCTTAAACACCAAATACAGCTAAAAACATTGTAAGAAGGTAACTTTTGCAATTAAAATTAGAATTTCTACGCAAAAACAAGCAATTTGGCCAGCGGACTCCTGTCCGTGTTTTTCGGTGCACAAAACTGAAAGTTAACTTTTGATCACAAAAGACACTAAAATTGATGCACCAAGCGACTTAATGTACTAATCTACTAAGAGTTTCAAATGTAAACAAATGGCGGATGCGTTAGGCTTAACAGCATTTAAACTTTCTAAATTTTTGGTAATTCTACAACTACTGCATACAGATTAACTAAAGACATAAAACCTTAACCGGAATATAAGAACAACATAATTGAATGACTTTTGAAGCAAAAAGTGTCTAATTTACCAACATATAAGAATACAAAACTGAGCTCTCCGAGCCAGGTAGCAGGATTAAAAAAAATATAGAAAATTAAGATACAGAATGTAAAAGTTAAATCTAAAACGAGCTGTTCAGAATACCAAAGAAACATGTCAGGGAGAAGATTTGTTATGCTGTTTTTTCATCATAAATCGTAGCCACATGGAAATACGCCCACCTTTTATTTTATAAAGAAGAGATTTAATTGTTTAAGATGTAACTTCACATTCATTTCGCTGGATTGCTCCCGCACGAGACTAGCAACAAATATTTCTCTGAAGAGATAACAATTTGACAGAACGAAAATTAAAAATGGTAAAGTTCTTTAAAATATTTCTTCTGCGGTGTTTAATAAATTCTCGCACTTTACACTACAGTATAGGTATTTGACCAATGGTGTCAAAGTTTGTTATCCGAATGAGTCCTTACTTAGTCCGAAAATTTGGAGGTCTATTATGCTTCGTACCGAATAAATATTTAAGCATTTAGGAAGCTGAAATCACAGCAAATTCTTGTGGCATAGTATCAATTTCCACATAACTCGTGTATGAATCATGAGTATGCGTTTTATATACAACTATAAAAATCCGTTTTTAAATATGATGTAATCCAGAAAAATTGTATGATTAATTAATTTAGTTATATATCTCTTTCAGTATAATAATAACTAAAAATAAAAGCAGCAGTAAAAATTTCACT